ATTTGTTCTGTAAGCCTTCACCTGAAGTACAATAAAAAAAAAAAAAGAAAAGAAAAGAAAAGAAAATGGGCTCACCAATGGGGAGTGTTCGAGATTTTGGGGGAAGTGTGGTGGGGGTGGGGGTAGGGCTTGCTGGGACACCTCCCCTCTGTGGGCTCCAGATATTCCAGGCTCCCAGGCTCCCAGCCTCCCAGCTGTGGAATGTCCTGGAATGTTCTCCAATCTCTGTAGGCTGTGGGGCCCGAGAGCAGTGGGGCTCTGCCAGAAGGGGCTGGTCTGGACTCACCTGGGATTTCTGGTGTGGTTCAGCAGCTTCCAGGGCTGAGAGGTGACGAAACTATTAGGAAACACAGAATGTGCCACTGCAGCCCCCCTGGAGAGCAGGGGTCAGCGTGGAGGTAAAAGGAGAGATGGTTGTTCCTCTGCCCCTTCTTAGGAATATCCACCGTCTCAGCAGAATTGTCAGCAGAGGCAGTCCAAATGCCCCCTCACCCAGTTATTCCACTGAAACCTGGAAACGGTGTATCATCTACCATTCTTTCCAAGTGGTCAGCTTCTCCCTCTATTTCTGTAAAGTTGCTGTTATTGGGTACCATCCAGTCAATTCCAACTCATAGTGACCCCATGTAATAGAGTAGAACTGAGTTCCATAGGGCTTTCAAGGCTATAATCTTTACAGAAGCAGAATGCCAGGTCTTTCTCCCACAGAGCCACTGGGTAGGTTCAAACCACCGACCTTTCAGTTAGCAGCTGAGCACTTAACCACTGTGCCACCAGGGCTCCTTTCTTTAGGGTTAGGACTGAAGACAGAGGAGAGACTGTGGAACCTAGGTAGTGAAGGGGGATGAGTGTTGGTAGAGGGAAGAGAGGAAAAGTGTGTGGGTTTGTCCAGCCCTGGACCTCCTGGGAGCTCTAATACTGACCTCTCTGCCTTGTTTATGAAGATGCCAAGGCCAGCCACTTTGCAGAAGTCTTTTAAAAGCAAGTCAATAAAAGATCTTTCAAGGATGGTTAGTATGCTTATCAGGGAAAAGACTTATGTTTCTCTCCTAGGAAGGACTTGGGGACTTCTTCATTTTCCAGCACTTCCCAGAAGAGGTCAAGGAGGAGGGGACAATTCCTGCTTGAAGTGAAGTTGGCAGGGGCTTGGCAACCGGCCCTCTTGGCCGTGGCTCGGTTCCTCTATGAAGAAGCGTCTTGGACTCCACTGAGTGGGAGAGTGTTCCAGAGGGTGTTTTGTTTCTAGGGAGGGGAGGAGGAGACAGGAGAGGAAATAAAATCAGAAAAATGAAAAACAAAGAATTCCTGAAGGCCCGATAAGCAGTTCAACTATGCACCAAAACATAAATGTTTGGCCAAATTAGTTACTTCAAATGCTTCTTATTTCTAAAATTGAGTCACAGTTCTGTTACACTTTGAAGTTTTTCAGCTCTTGACAATCCCGAGCAAATCTAAGGGGTAAAGGAGAGGGAGAATTGGAGTTCATTTCCTTCCCTGAGATCTCAGCAAATACTTAGCTTCTTTTCTTCGATGCCTGGTAAAATGATTTTGCTGTTTGGCCAGCCATGTCTTTCCAAACGGGGCTGTCCCTTGTGCACTCAATTCAGCATTTTGTCAATGAACAAGCAGCAAGTAGCATGTGCTGGAAAATACTGGCTTGGAAGGGATCAGAAAACCTTTAATGGTTATTAAAATATCTGCATCCTAATATAATCTACAAGGAGCCCAGGTGGCACACTGGTGAACCACTCAGCTGCTAACGGAAAGGTAGACAGTTGGAACCCACCCAGGGGCTACAAGGGAGAAAGACCTGGCAATCTGCTTCTGTAAAAATTACAGCCAAGAAAACCCTATGGGGCAGTTCTACTCTGTCACATGGGGTTGCTACAAGTCAAAATCAACTCAATGGCACCCAGCAATAAAGATACAATATACAACAGTGCTGTAGTCTAATTTCTGTTCACTTTTTGTGGAATTCACATTTTGAGATTTGCATGACACTATTCATAGGACTTATCACAAATACAGGGCTTAAATTTAATTCATTTTTGCAATGGCATGGCAGAAACTGCTTATTCCCCTGGGCGGAGGAATGAATACCCATTAAATTAAGGTGTATTTTTATATGATGCTCAAGCAGTTGGTTCATTCCCTCAATGTAGCCCTCCAATAAATTCAAGAGAAAAAAGCCAATCAGTTCAGTTGTTTGGTATCATTTTAAAAGTAAGTGGGATGATGTGTTGAAGTCTAGAACACAGTAGATCTTCCTTCCCTGCAGCAACTATGTGGTGGGGGAAGGCCAAGGAGAGAAGATGCAAGAACAAGGTTCCCTGGTTAAGCCCGTGGCCCATGTGGAACTTTTTCTCCAGTAGCACTTCACTGAACTTCATAGTAGCAAGAACTATTTTTCATTAAAGCAGACAGTGGGTGCTGTTACAAGCGAACTGTCACTTTCTAGGCAAAGGAAAGTGGCGGTGGAAGGATCCAAGCCTACTCTCAGGCCTGAAATCTTCTGACCCTGTTCCCAGGAAGCAAGAGCAGAGGCTGGTTCCAGATGTTTCTGGTGGGATTTAGTGTGCATCTTGGAGTTTGGGTCGGTTAGTCAGTGGATAAAATCAGAGGCTCACCATCATTAGAGGCTTCCTGGGTGATGCAAATGGTTAAGGGCTCGACAGCTAACCAAAAGATTGGCTGTTCAAACCCACCCAGAGGTGCCTCAGAAGGAAGACCTGGTGATCCGCTTCCAAAAGCTCACAGCCGTGAAAACCCTATGAAGTAATTCTACTCTGTGCTTGTGAGGTCACCATGAGTCGGAATCAACCCAATGTCAACTAGTTGGGTTTTTTTTTGCCTTTTTGGCCTAGCTTTAAGGACTTATTGTAGTATTCTCTATCAGGAAATATTCAGTCTTGTGTGTACGTTTGTGTGTCTGTGTGAGAGAGAGAACAGACTGATTTCATAATTTTATGTATGAAATACTGGGCACATTGAAAGAAAGCCTCATCTACTACACCTGTAATGTAGACGCTACCTGAATCAGTCCCAAACCAGGCAAAATCCGAGTAAATCACTAGAACAAGATTCTTCCCAAAGCATTTTCTCTGAGTTTCCCTGTCACTATAACATTAAATCTGACATTGTTACAAGTCCTTCCCTAGAGGGGTCTCTCCCTTCCCTAAGCCCTGGAAGGCCCCTTCCTCTTTGCTCTTGAAAGGAAAGTTCAAATGCCTCTTCCTCCAGGAAGCCTTCCTGGAGAAAAGAAGTGCCCCCCACCCCCGCCATTTTCCAGAATCCCATGGACCTTTGCTTACCCCTCTTTATGGCACTTATTTCACTGTGCCGTAAGTCATAGCAATTTACGTTCATATCTTACCGCTTCTACTTATCTCATTTCTTTTACTGATTTGGAAGCTCCCAGAAGACAAGATCTATGATATATTTTGCTTTGTATCCTTATAGTATTTAGCACATCACCTTATACCTAAAAGCTGCACGTAAGTGTGTGTTTCATAAATAAAATAAATTCATCCACAGCTAGATCTACTGCTCAGCAGTAACCTGCAGCCTAAATGTTCTTACAAATGAGGGTAAAAGAAAGTTAAAGCTCCATTTCTAAGTTAGTCAAATAAATACCTGGTGGCACAGTGGTTAAGAGCTATGGCTGCTAACCAAAAGATCAGCAGTTTGAGTCCACCAGCCACTCCTTGGAGACCCGATAGGGCAGTTCTACTCTGTCCTATAGGGTCGCTATGAGTTGGAATCGACTTGACTGTAAGGGGTTTGGGTTTTTTTTTTTTTTTTTTTTAGCTCTCCATCACAACTCAGTATTATGCATCTTAAGTTTGGTCAGAATTGATTGAGCAGCTGAGGGTTTAATGGTTTAAGTAAACATTTTTCTTTTCCTTTCTTTAGAACAGATGACACTTTCCTGGACAAAAAGGAAAAAGTATCTGGGTGAGAGAAATAGGGTGGGGCCGGTTAAGCCTGCATTCCGCTACTGGATTTAGATGAAAATACCAAGCTGTTTTCAAGAACTCTGGATTAAACTGCCTCCCTCACCCTGGATCCGGGGAAGCCTGCCTTGAGGAAATGAAAGCAGAAAGATTTGGGAGCTGAGAGTTAAGTTGAACTAAAGGTAACTATTTTAAATCAAAACATCTGCTGGAAGGGTGAATTTATTTTAACAAATTCTGAGTGGCAATTGCCGAGCAGTTCTCAACCCTTATGCCTCATCTTCTCTAGTAAAGTTTCCCTGATTACATTAAAAATAAATGGGTCGACTCTACCATTCTGTAGAAATAGTGACTTAAAATACACTTTGTCTCCTTTTTTGCATTAGAGCGCTTCACCGTTGCACCACCAGGGCTCCTAACACCTGGTGTGCCGTGGTCTTAATATATAACATCATGAGAAGATGAGGGGCGAGTGATAGGAGATTCAGAGGAAGAAGGAAAAAGAAAGTAGGAAAGGAGTAAGGACAGTTCCTGTCCCACTTGGCTCTGTGTCCAAGAGTTTTGGAAGATTTTGGAAACACTTTGGTGGTGGTGGTTGTAGCGGTGGTATGTAGTTCTCAGTTTGTGATTTACCGTGCTGTCTGACATGACTGTGTGGGTTTGATGAAGCACCTGCTACTTGCTCAGGAAGATGCAGAGAATTTACGGAGCAGTCAGTGCAAAGAGCTTAGTTGTGCTGGATGCTCCAGCAATGGTACCTCAGGGGCTCAGAGCTTGGATTCTGTCATTTGTACGTTTCCCCCAATTTGGACTTCGGGGATTGTACTTAAATATGGAGGGAGGAAGCTGGTGAGGAGTCGTGTTTGAAGAACTGGAGATGAATGAGGCCAGAGAAATGAAGAGAGAAAAGAGACTTGGTTTTTGTCTTTACAACTACACAGAAATACCTGTCCGTGCATGGTATTGATGGGACCAAGGGTGGAAGTGACTCGAGAGTGCAGAGCAAGGGAGGAGGCTTTGAGGGCTGAAGCCAGAAGACTGAAGTAAAGGGCAGATGTGGAATGGGCCTGGCCCCTGAGAATCCCTGCATGTAGGTGGCCAAGATGGACCTGGGGCCTGGGAGCCAGGTGGTCATTCTAATATTGTGAAGAAATTCTTTGATTTGAGCCTGCCCTACAGGGGGCTTTTCAAAGTTTCAAGAAACAGCAGGAAGGTTCAGTGATGCCAAGGAAATACACAGATTTCTGAGGTGCCAGAGGTTCAAATGGACTATGTTTCTAGAATTTAATTTAGAGAAGAGACATAGACTTCTAGAACACAGGGATAGAGAAAAGAGGTTATTGCAGAAAGAGCAGATTCTCAGGCTTCCTTGCGGAATGCAGTTCACAGTAAAGGGAAGTCCTCTGTAAGGGAACCAATAGGCCCAGGCCTCTGGAACTGTGAGGGAGAAACAAAGAAAATTATCCTCAGAAATCCCAAAACGCACATTTTGATGATGTGAGAGCTTTGGATGCTCTGCAGACATGATGGAGGCTATCTCTCAGAACCCTGGGGAAAGAGGAGTTCAAAGAAAAGGCCAACACGTCACTAAATTTTACATGTGAAAAATTTTGAAATGGCAAATATTTTGTTATATATCAATTTACCACAATTGAAAAAGAGAGAGAGAGAAATAAGCAGATAACAAGCGTTCAACCAATGGCAGCTATTATTAGTACAAAGATTTTGAGGCTGTAAGTATGAATTCCATCTTCCATCTCTCTCCCAGTATTTTTGGCGTACAAATCACAAGGCACCTCCCACACTTACTCTTCTTCCCACCTTATACTTGTTGTCCTCCATAGGTATCAATTTCTTAAGTTTATCTAGAGTATCTCCCTCTCCTTTATTTAATTTAAAGTTTTTCAATCAAGTCATCTAAATTCTGGTTAAATATCTGTCATGGATTGAATTGTGTTCCCAAAAAAATATGTGTCAACTTGGCTAGGCCATGGTTCCCAGTGTTGTGTGATTGCCCACCATTTTGTCATCTGATGTGATTTTCCTATGTGTTGTAAATCCTACCTCTACGATGTTAATGAGGCAGTATTGGAGGCGGTTATGTTAATGAGGCAGGACTCAATCTACAAGATTAGGTTGTGTCTTGGGCCAATCTCTTTTAAGATATAAAAGAGAAAAGTGAGCAGAGAGACTCGGGGACCTCATGCCACCAAGAAACAAAAGCCAGGCGAGTAATGCGTCCTTTGGACCCAGGGTCCCTCCACTGAGAAGCTCCTCGACCAGGGAAAGTAGATGACGGGGACCTTCCCTTAGAGTTGACAAGAGAGAGGGGCTTCCCCTGGAGCTGGCACCCTGAATTCGGACTTCTAGCCTCCTAGACTGTGAGAGCATAAATGTCTCTTTGTTAAAGCCATCCACTTGCGGTATTTCTGTTACAGCAGCACTAGATGACTAAGACAATACCCTTCCCTGGCCAAGAATCATTCATACTAGTACCTAAAACCATAGTTTCATCTTATAAATCTCTTTTCTCATGAAAAACCAAAAACCAAACCCCTTGCCATTGAGCCGATTTCCAGTCATAGCGACCCTATAGGACAGAGGAGAACTGCTCTATAGTGTTTCCAAGGAGCAGCTGGTGGATTCGAACTGCCAACCTTTTGTTTAGCAGCTGAGCTCTTAACCACTGCACCACCAGGGCTTCCATTTCTCATTATCATCTCTTTAATTGGATACTCAACTCCGAGATCTTCCACTCTCCTCCAAAGTCTTTACTGTTTGTAGTGAAAATTGTAAGTCTATCATCTATGCTATTGAGTCCTTTGATTTCTTTTCCAAGGCCTCATGGTTTCTTTCCAGGTAATGCCATTCATTCAGCATTTTAAACTCAAGATATGCTGGGAGGAGATTTCTAGGAGCAAGTTGATAGGAATCTTCAAGTGGTAGAGGAATCAGAAAGAGTAAGCCTGAGAGTCCAACAGAATAGCTCTCAAGAGTCAGGTAATCCATCTTGAGTATGCGACTTGGATAGAATGCTTATTTCATTTGGGTTAAGTAGAGACTCCCTGTGTGATGCAAAGTGCTTGACTATCATCTGAAAGGTTGGCAGTTCAAACCCACCCAGAGCACCTCAAAAGAAAGGCCTGGCAATCTATTTCCAAAAGGTCACACCCTTGAAAACCCTATGGAGCACCGTTCTACTCTGCAACACAGGGGGTTGCCATGAGTCAGAACTGAATCCATGGATACTGGTTTGGACTCTCTGGTTTAAGTAGGAAGTCTTGAGTGAGTCTGAAAACGCAGCTATCTGCACAACGCCAAAGAAATCTCTTAGTGAAAATAGCTGGTCAAATAATTTTCAAGTCCATTTATTTTTCATTTTTTGTTTGCATTTGCTCTCTAGCCCGATTCTCAGAGGAATACATTATGATTCTAGCATGCAAAAAAAGTTGTTTCTTCCCTTGGCTACCCCAAACCATCCCAATTATAAAAGTAAAACTGTATATTGTACAGTGATACCTTCATAACTCTAGTTTTGAGAGCCAAAGAAGAGGCATCATTAAAGTGGGGAATTTCATATGCGTCCACGCACGTACAAGGTTCAGGCTCTAGAAGATAAATGTGGCAAGAATGCGTAAATGCTGCCGAGTAATTATGCAACCTTCATTTCTGCCAATACATTTTGAGCCTGATTTGTGTCTGATAGGACTGTAAATCCAGTCTTTGCACCATTTATGAAAAATATACTTTACAATCTTGTGTATATTCTTTTCAGAGACAAAATAAACAATGGAATGTCCATGCTTCAGACTCTGAGGGGTGTGGAGTGGGAAGGGGAGTTTGAGTGAAGAAAAGACCCAGCTATAAAAAGGACTTCAGTCTTTGCTGTTGTTGGGTGTCACCGAGCCGATTTTTGACTCATAGCAACCCTATGTGACAGAGTAGAACTGCCCCATAGGGTTTTCTAGGCTATAATCTTTACAGGAGGAGCCCTGGTGGCACAACAGGTAAGTGCTTGGCTGCTCACTGAGAGGTTGGCAGTTCGAACCCACCCAGCCGCTCCATAGGAGAAAGATGTGGAAGTTTGATGCTGTAAAGATTACAGCCTAGGAAACCCAGTGGGGGCAGTTTTACTCTGTCACATAGGGTTGCGATGAGTCAGAATCAACTCCACAGTGCACAGCAACAATCTTTACAAGAGCAGATCACCAGGTCTTTTTCCACAGAGTTGGGTGGGTTCGAACTGCCAACCTTTGGTTTGCAGTCGAGCGCTTAACCATTGCACTACCAGGGCCCCTCTGACTTTAGTAGTAGGATCCAGTAATTGGGATGGTGTTATAAGCTCTCATGTAAATAAAAAAAAGAAAGAAGACATCTTCATTCTTCCAGAAAAAGATGGATGCAATATCTCTTTGACTAGAGTAATGGCATGAAATAGGTCTACAGGGAATAGATTCCCAAGAACCTCCACCCTGTGTACCCCTCGCCTTTGCCAGGTGTCACTAATCACCCGTTCTAAATGTGTAGGACCTAGGCAATGAATAAGAGCCTTGGGAGCGCAGTGGTTAAGAGCTACGGCTACTAACTAAAAGTTGGCAGTTCGAATCCACCAGCTCCTCTGTGGGGCGTTCTACTCTGCCCTATAGGGTGAGTTGGAATTGACTTGACGGCAACAGGTTTGGATTTTTTTCTTTTTTCTTTTTGGTTTGGGTGATGAATGTGTCTCAATCCTGGAGAATCATCTGGGGAGCTTTGAAAAATACCAACGTCTGGCTCCACCTGGGAGCTGCTAGTTGCTTTAAGGCACACCCGGTGAGAAGCACCGGTATAGGCCCACTGTCCTGGGAGCAGCTCTGCTTCGAGAGAACTCTTACCTCCCGAGAACTCCTGCCGCCCAAGAGCAATGGCAAAGTCCGTTGGCAAGAAGACAAAAGCAGGGCCACAGAAGGGCTTCTTCCCTTCTCTTCCTTGTTCTTTATTCTCCTATCTTGTAGCATTGGCCCTTGACTATGGATTGTATTGTATCTCTTGCCTATAGTTGTGTGCTTCTCATTCGCGGGTACCTACCTGCCTGGCCTGCTCTGACTCCACATGTTGGTATTTCCCTACCAAGTGCTTGTTCATCATATTGCGAACTCCAGCCTCTGATTGCCCAGCTCCCTGGGAAGCTCCTCCAG